TAAAGCTGCGTCCAGATTACGCGCGCCGAACTGCGCAAAACGTTTGCGAGCGTTGCAGCAACATGTAATGTGGACGGGTATATGCGCACGAACGCGCCACTGCGTGCATGCACATTGCACGAATTTGTTCGGGCAAGTGTCGGTACATCAAAGAAATTCGGCTAAGCGCGCGTTTAAAGTTAAGTGAAGTTTGGACGTAGTTGTGCGCATTCCTGCAACACAATGAGTGAAATTGAATGGAGTCGGGAGAAAACACTGCAATTAATTAACATGTATGAAACAAAATCAGAATTGTGGGACGTGAAAAACAGTAATTACCATTTACGAAATAAAAAACATGATGCTTGGAAGAACATAGCAACAGAAATGGAAAGCGACGTTGAAGTAATAAAGGCGAAAGTAGCATCGTTGCTGTCATCGATGAGAAGAGAAAAGGCCAAAATGAAGAATTCTACAGGCACGGGGAAAGGTAGTATTTTGATTTTCTTTTGATGTCCATTTTAGCTAATTGTGTATACATATGCAGGTAGAAACGAAATATATATAAGCAAATGGTTTGCTTTCGAAGCCTTTAAATTTTTGTGGGATAAGGACAGTGTAAAGGGCTCAATAAATACAGAAACGGTAAGTTCAGATTATATTTATTTCCAGCCTACTTACATAGTAGCATTTACCTAAGCATATTTATCTTGAAATGATACAGCACCATTCGACGAAAAATACTCCGCTAGTTCGTTCCGAATTTGTTGTGCATTTAGAGGAGATTTTCGCGGTAGTCTTCTGATAGGCAAGAATGAATTTTCAGGATTACCGTCACGTCGCCATGTTCCTTCTATTAATAAACCATCCTCTTCGCTATCAAATGTTCCAGGCGGAGTATATATTTGATTTGAGTTTCCGCTTCTTAAAAAATTATGCAAGTAAAGAGTGGTTAAAACAACAAGCCGTGCCTTCTCAGGCTCCAGTAATAGTGGTTTTCTCAAAACCCTAAAAACAGCGGACAATATGCCAAACGCGTTTTCGACAATTCTTCGTGCTCGTGACAAGCGATAATTGAAAATTCTTTCTGGTGTACCTTTGTCATGTAAACCTGAATAAGGCTTCATAATGTTGTCATGCAAGGCAAAAGCATCGTCAGCAACAAACACATAAGGAATCCGTTTCTGTCGGCCAGGAAGAATCCGTGGTTCCGGAATGGGAAGTTCTCTCTTTTCGATTTTTCTCCATAATAAACTATTTTTAAAAATTCCCCCATCCGAAATGCGACCCTGACCACCAACGTCACAAAAAAGAAAATTGTATTGACCATCTACCAAAGCAAGTAGTACTATACTGTGAAATGATTTATAGTTGTAATATTCGCTTCCACTCTGTATGGGTGCTTGTAACATAATATGTTTCCCATCTAACGCCGCTAGGCAATGAGGGAAATGCCACACGTCTTCGAAAATTTTGGAAGTTTGTGTCCACTCTTCTATAGTAGATGGCATCTGAAAATGTGAAATACACTGTAAATTCAGTACTATGGTCTATGAGTACACAAGCAGTGAAATCCATAAAAATTGCACTACCTATACTATTCTACACACGCCATTTAATAAAATATTTTTCTAGGACGAAGAAAGCACTACTGATGAAACTTTCAACAATTCAGAATCGCAATGTGTAGACAGAGAACCTCAATCAGTTGTAGCAAATGATGAAATCGAATCGGGTAGTGTAGTTTCCGTTGGGACAAGTCCTCAAATCCCAACAGCAAAACGTAAAATTTTTGTATCTCCCAAGAAAATACTTCCGAAACGAAAATGTGTACAAGAAGATCCTAAAGTGTCTGCTGCATACGATCTGCTTAAGAAGGTCTCAACCACTCCAAAAGACGAGTGTCATACTTTTGGTCAATACATAACAACACAGCTACAAAAAATGGATGAACGCACCCGAGCTGTTACAATACACAAGATTAATAACGTTATATTTGACGCTGTAATTGGAAGATACGATAATGGTAGTGGATCCAATACAAGATCCTCGGCATCTACACCTTCCTCTTCACATAGTTCCGGAAATATTGGGGCCGCCGATCACCTTTTATTCAATGAACAGTATCAGGATCCATTTTCCCAAGACACCCCTCAACCAAGTCCAAACTCACAATCTCAGGATTCATGGGGTGCTGTACAACATTATTACAATACATTCGCGCCTTAAGCAGTGATTACAAATATTCTCGTTTACAAATTTTGTTGTGATGCACACACACACACACCTTTTATGGATAACACTACGAATAAATGCAATATTTCTTACCTTTACGTAGTCTTTCAATGCGTCACACAAAGCTTGGCACACTTCAGTCACTATGGTAGATATGCTCTGTTTAGAAATTTTGAACAGGTACATCAAACTTGTGTATGAATCCCCAGTTGCCAGGAATCGTAGAGTAACTGCCAGTCTCTCTTTAACAGGAATGGGTTGTCTGAATGTAGTTTCTTGCTTCGCTATTTTATGCCCAATTAGATGTATCAGATATTCAAAATCTTCACAAGATATACGGCAAAAATTTTTGAACTGTCCAGTGCGTGACAATGATAAATCGTTCAACAGGTTGCTGCCACTATAAATATTGCGACTTTTAAATAAATTCGTCATCCAATAGCGTCTTCTCTTGCGTTGCTTTTTCTTTATAGCGTCGCAAAGAATAATAAAAGCTGCTGCAGAGATTTGCACATCATCATCCATGGTCACTCAAAAATATTCACCCGTTCAATTGGGAACCCTAGCAAACATAGCCAAGCACACACACAAACCAGAGACAAGACAGTGTGCGCAAAACATTTCTGCAACGCTCGCAAACGTTTTGCGCAGTTCGGCGCGCGTAATCTGGACGCAGCTTTCACCAACAGATTCCAAGCTGGGAAAACGTGCAAAATACAATAGAATTTATTAAAACTATAAGTATATGTCCTTCAGTTGAAATGGATGAAACTGGTCTGTATGACGAATATATGTGCGTGAAGCAATATGTGACTGCAGAAAAGTTAGTAACGTGGAAGTCTGAGAAAACATTGCCTGCCCAGTGTTGGGTTGAAGTTATGTGCAACTTCAGTGCCGAAAATGTACCATATTCAAACTTTATTAAAATATTAGAATTTCTTTTTTGTTTATCGGGTACAAACGCTCCGACAGAACGAGTATTTTCGCACATGAATTCAGTATGGACAAGTGACAAGACTCATCTATCAATTAACACTTTGAGAGCCATGTTAATAACTAAAATTAACTTTACCGACTCTTGTGCAGAGTTTTATAAACTATTATGCTAAAACAAGGAGCTTTTGAAAAAAATTCATTCGTCACAAAAGTACCAACCGAGGCTCTAAATATTATGAAATAGTTTTTTTGTGTGTTAATTATATGACTTTTTAAGTAAAAAAATTATAGTATTCTGTATTTTTGTATTTTAGAACCCCCCACCCCCCAAAACTATTAAATATAACTATATTATCGCAAATGTTACCTACAACTGAGTTGTTACGCTAAAACGATAAGATTTAGTTCTTTATTTATAACTAATAAATGATGTAATGATTTATCATATCTGTCGTTCACTTTCTTTGACGTCGTGACCGCTGCTAAGAGTCCCGTTTTGCGTCTGCGCTGTAATATGTACTTCCTTGGAAGTGTCTAAGTTTAGGGCTGAAGTGCTGAAAATGGTATAATATAATAGTGTACAAAGTAAAAAGAGCATAAATAACTGTCAGCTGATATTTAAATGTGGCAAAACCTGTTACCTGGGCGTTCAAAGTGTAGCGTAGCGTTAGCGGGCGCTAGCGCACGCGGCGACTTTGAATTTTGATGGTCCAGCTAACACATTTTTCCACGTTGTCGTGTCAGCTAACAAGTGGTTTCCTTTTTTTCGTACCATAAACTGATGAGGTAGTCATGCTGATGTCATATTATGATTGAACGAGAATACATGAGTAAAATGGTATCACATACTGTGAAATAATATTATACATAAATTGAAACATTGTATTTTATAATTTGTAACGTGGTTTTATTTTCTTGCTAGGACAAAACGCAACCAATACATTTCTTAGACAATTCTTAAAAAATATTCAACCTCTTATATTTCTTAAACCGTTGGTCTAATTGAAAAAAGGTGTAGTAAAAAAATTACCTTGATTAATTCGACATATTTTGTCTCGCTCATGTATTATACCTCTATCTGCACTTATAACGAAAAGACCTCGCGACTGAGATTTTTATTACACTTCTCGCGCATATACAGTTTACAGAGTGGTTTTTGACTTTCTTTTTGTTCTGTGAGACAGCAAATATAATGAGCTTTCGAACGGTACACAAATTCTTGAAAAATATTCCTAAATAACCTGGGAAATGCTTGCACCCAATTACAGAGTGACTCGCATAATGCTTTTTAGAAGTGCCTCTGCAGAAGGTCTTAAGTTGTTCTATACTACTCCGGCATTTACCTTAGGAATTAAGAAAACTGCAAAAAAAGGACAACCTAATTCGGAGTAGTCGACAGAATGCTTGAAACTGATCTAAGAAAATTCCCATCTCTTCCACAGATGAAAAATTCTTACCTCGGCCCAGGTTCAAACACCCGACATTCGGCTATTATGTAGCCCATCGCTCTACCACTGAGCTACATAATCGGTTGGGGTTTTGTTATTTGCTTTCTTACCAATAGTGAGAGTAGAATTCCTTTTATTTTTGTGATTGCAAATTATATTGAAATTAAGCTTCATTTACATTCAATTCCACTTCAAACTGAACTTGGAAATTGTACGCACTGTCATTTACATTGCTTTACAATTTATAGGTTAGACTTTCTGTCAACGCTATTGCTTTTGCTGGTTAGGAAAGTAACATTTGCTTTATTTCGGAATTATGGATGAATTATCACTTAATTTATAATTCGACATCCAATCCGAAGACATTTATAGAATACTAAGTAGTTCGCCTCGCTCGAACTCCAGCCACGAGTTTAAAAGTACTTATATAATTTAAAAAGAAAAACTTTTTACCCCCAATTACCCTAAACGGTCTCCGCCACTGTCGTGATGTCAGTCCCCGTTAGGAATGAGTATCTAACCTCATTCGTCTCCTCGTGCTCGCCGCGTTTAGATCCTTTGTTCTTTAATCTACAGGTTTTTTCTTTCAATTGAAAATGGGAAAGTCTAAGAGACGACGTTCTCGTAGCAGGGGTAGTGATACTGAGCCTCTTAAGGCCGGAAATTTATTGAAACGGTTGCACCGTTTGGAAAGAAAATTGGCGAACTACCAACACAAAGGCAGACGAGAACATTCTCACTCTCCGGGCGACGCTTCACGTCCCTCGTCAAGCAGGCGCTCCCGATCTAGATCTCGACGATGTTTTCCGGATCATCAACCTCGAGATAAGTTTGCTTCATTAAGTAAAACAGATCAGACATATTCGTTGAGGATGACGAGCATTTCACCAGCTTCTAGTCGTTCACGCTCGCCTAGCTGTTATCCTAGAATGCGCATTAGCTCTCCCTCTTCAGGCGAGAGAGTTTTGCACTCGCCAGAGGCAGGTCGTCATCACGACCCTATGTCTCCACCAAAAGTGCCTGTAGGTGAGCCTTCTGTAGATTTAAACTTGTTAGAGGGAGTGACTACTAGATCAAACGTTGACGATATTCGGGATGATGGAAGTGTTCTGGTTTTACAAGACGACCTCTCTTTAGAGGATCTATCCGAAATCGCAGTCACAGCCCAGACGTTGGAACCATATTATTGCCAATGGTCTGGCAAAGGACAGTGTTGAAGTCCTCAAGAAGCAATATTCCAACCCTGATAACTGTGTGCATCTTCTCCCGCCCAAGTTGAACCCAGAGATTGCAGCCATTCTTCTTAATGATAGGTTGGCTCGGGATTCGTTTAATGCCGAAATTCATTCTGAAATAGCCACAGCTCTCTGTGCAATGGGCAAGTCCATGACACTGCTCCTTAACTCTACAGATGTTTCGAGAGAATTTCGGAATCAGCTCTTATCTCCGTTGGGGGATTCTAGTAGAGTTCTGGTAAATATTTTACACTCTATTACGGACTGTAGGCGCAAGTTAATTTTGCCAACGTTAAATAAAAATGTTAAGGATATTTTGGCAAAGTCAGTGCCAAATGAATTCCTTTTTGGAACTGATCTGTCTGAGAGCATTAAGGAAGCAAAAAATCTGCAGCTGGCGGGGAAAGATCTTAAGCTTGCACCCACTTCCAGCTTATCACAGCCTTTTGGGAAGGGGAGAGGCACTACATTCAGAAAGACTTCCACTACCACTCGTGGTATCTCTAGAGCAGAATCTCGGTCTTTAAACCGTTACGGCCCGGTTCGTCCCAGGGGACAAGCGAAACCATCTCGAGGCCACCCGTCCCAGAGACAGGGAAAGTACAGGCGCTAGAGAACCTTCAGCAGGTAAGCCCATTAGCTGGTAGATTGGCTATTTTTGCCAATAGGTGGTGTCAGATAACTGATAACCTGGTCATTCTTCAATGGATTAAGGGTTACAGCCTCCCCTTTTCTTCTTCACCTGTACAATTTACTTTCCCTAAAATTAAAGCTCTCTCTTTAGCAGAAAGGAAGGCATTCTCATATGAAATCAACAAGTTGTTGAACCAAGGAGCAATATCTAAATGCTCGCCTTGCCAGGGTCAATACATCTCTAATATTTTTTTAGTAGACAAACCAAATGGACAAAAACGTTTTATTTTAAATCTTAAGTATTTAAATACGTATTTAGAAGTGCCTCATTTTAAAATGGAAGACATTCGCACTGCATTGAGACTCATTAAAAAGGATTGTTTCTTTACTTTAATTGACCTGAAAGATGCTTATTTCCACGTAAATATCCACCCAGATCATAGAAAGTTTTTAAGGTTTGAGTATGACAATGTCTTGAACCAGTTTACGTGTTTACCCTTTGGTTTGTCATCAGCGCCTTATGTCTTTACTAAGTTGATGAAACCAGTAACTCATTGGTTGCGAACCAGGAATATCACATGTGTATGTTACTTAGACGACCTGCTAATTGTGGATTCTACATTGGAAGGTTGTCAGAAGTCCACCATTTTTACAGTAGAATTCTTGCAGTCCCTCGGTTTTACAATCAACTTTGAAAAGAGTCATTTAACCCCTAACAATTACGTTAGGTTTCTAGGTTTCATCCTTGATTCTAAACAGCTTAGAATTTCAGTACCTGCAGAGAAAAAAGAGCTTATAAAAAGGCGAACTAGGTATTTCTTAAATAAACGACGTTGCAAAATACGTGATCTAGCTCAGTACATAGGCTACTTGATTTCAGTTTGCCAGGGAGTTAAGTATGGGTGGATGTACACCAAACTTTTTGAGCGACATAAGTTTTTAGCTCTGGTTAAAAATAACTTGTGTTACTCTGCTTCAGTTACTCTCCCTTTAGAGCTTAAACCAGATTTTGAATGGTGGTTAAAGTCAATCGACTTAGCTTATAATGATATTATTAAAGATCAGTTTGAGTTAGAAATTTTTACAGACGCTTCACTGACAGGTTGGGGGGCTTGTTGTGGGAATAACAAGATTCGAGGGTGGTGGACTGCTGAGGAAAAATTATTTCACATTAATTTTTTGGAACTCTTGGCAATCTTTTTTGGGGTCAAACATTTTGCGGGTTCCATCTCTCACAGTAACATTTTACTAAGGTGTGATAATACTACTGCAGTATCTTATGTCAATAGAATGGGTAGTGTGCAACACCCAGCCTTGTCTGCTTTAGCAAAGAAACTTTGGAAGTGGTGTGAGGGAAAGGACCTGTGGCTGTTGGCTTCCTATATAAGCTCTAAAGAAAACTGGGAAGCTGATCTGGAATCAAGAAGCTTACCGTCAGACACAGAGTGGTGCCTGTCAGCAGAGGCGTTTGATCTTGTGACACGAAGACTGGGAGTCCCTGACATTGATCTCTTCGCTTCCAAAGATAATCATAAATGTGACGTTTATGTGTCTTGGTTTCAAGACCCACAGGCTCTTTACATTGATGCTTTTACGAGGTCTTGGGAGGGTTCTTACTTCTATGCGTTCCCCACCTTTGCTCTAATTTTAAGAGTAATACAAAAAATAATTAATGATAAGGCCGAGGGCATTCTTATTGTTCCAAATTGGGAAAATCAACCTTGGTTCCCAATTTTTTCGAATTTATTAGTACAAGACCCTATTTATTTGAAGCCTACTAATGACTTGTTGTTTTTACCTCACAGTCCATCACCTCACCCGTTGGCGGACAAGCTCTCTTTGTTGGCAGCCAGACTATCAGGGAGGCGTTCAAGTTGATGTCCTTACCGAATAACGTTGTGGAAACTATCCTTAAGTCACTGTCCGAAGCAACTGTCAAACAATATGGAGCAACGTACAAACGCTGGTTACCTTTCTGTGCAGATAGGGGGGTGAATCCGTATGAGGGCACACCTTCTTTAGTGATGAGTTTTTTACAACATCTTTTTGATACGGAAGAAAATGCCTACGGAACATTTAATTCTCATCGCTCAGCACTATCGCTGATCACGTCAACAGATTTGTCGAGTCATCCAGTCTTATGCAGATTTTTAAAGGGTATAGCAAAACTTCGACCGTCAAGACCCAGATACAATGTAGTGTGGGACCCACAAGTAGTTTTAGCGTACTTGGAGCGGCTCGCAATGGATTCGTTAAAAGCATTGTCCGAGAAGCTAATAACTCTTTTAGCACTTACAACTGCTCACCGAATACAAACTTTTTCGTTAATTCGAATAGAGAATATTATAGAATCGGGAAACGGATTTCAAATTTTGATTGAAGATAAGATCAAGACATCAGGGATAGGTAGAACCCAACCGTGTCTACACCTTCCATACTTTACAGAAAACCCAAAGCTTTGTGTCGCTACAGCTCTAAAACAATATTTGACTGCTACCAAGGGAAGGCGCACGTCAGTTAGAGACTTCCTATTTTTAACCTATAAGAAACCGTACCGCACTGCAAGCAAGCAGTCCCTTAGTAGATGGGTGAAGGATACGTTGGAAGAAGCAGGTATAGATACGAGAATCTTTAAGGCTCACTCCACTCGCCATGCTTCGACATCTAAAGCCTTTGATTTAGGTGTACCATTAGAAGTAATTCGGCAAACAGCGGGGTGGTCAACAAACTCGAAAACCTTCTGTCAGTTTTATAACAGACCTATTTCTCAGGTTGGCACACTATCAAAAGCCATATTATCATTATAATGTATATATAATACATCTTCTATTATAGAGAATAACACTTATGTTAGTCAGATGTTGACATTATGTGGATATTTCATTTAAGATTATTGTTTCACCATAGCTTTTAGTTTTCTTTTTTGAATTATATGATAGTGATAGTACCCTTCGACTGTTATTTGTTTTTTATCTGGGTTCATGTGGAAAACCACTGTCTCTAAACATCTACTTAGTATTCTATAAATGTCTTCGGATTGGATGTCGAATTATAATTACACGATCAAACGAACTCACCTGTGAAGTTCGATCGTAATTATATGAGACATCCAATCCGAAGACATTCAAACCCACCCCCCCACTCCTGTCGTTTTCCAGCACATTTTCGAAGGGTTTACCAGTTGATTTATCTTTGAACTAAATGAGGTTAGATACTCATTCCTAACGGGGACTGACATCACGACAGTGGCGGAGACCGTTTAGGGTAATTGGGGGTAAAAAGTTTTTCTTTTTAAATTATATAAGTACTTTTAAACTCGTGGCTGGAGTTCGAGCGAGGCGAACTACTTAGTATTCTATAAATGTCTTCGGATTGGATGTCTCATATAATTACGATCGAACTTCACAGGTGAGTTCGTTTGATCGTGTAATTTTGAATGTGGTAGCTGTACTTACTTTTCTTCTTAATCCACTTTCTTCCTACCTCGCTTTGCACATAATCTTCGGGCTTTTCAATACCTTGCTCTAAATGAGTATCCTTGTGAATATCATTAAAAGCATTTTCTTCCTCTACAATTTGTATGCTTTGCTCTACATGGTCTGCCTATAAAAAGTGAACTAAATCAAATTTTGTATTAACAGAATAACGTAAATACCAATTCTAATTCAACACCGTCAACCGCTTGAACAAAGTCGACCTCATTAATTCCTAACTCTGGTATTTCAGAAATACCATCTACCACTACTGTGCCAGTTGCTTTTAATAAACGCAGCTCCAACTCATTTAGGACCTTATTTTCACGTGCCTTTTTCCTTACTTGGGACTTCCACTCGGTGAAGACCTTTAGAAATTCAAATTGCATTAACCTGTTATAATAAAAATTAGAAAATACCTTCTTCCATCCATCCGAATCTCTTGTCGGCCCATCTCCACAGGCATTTAAGGCCTGCGATAATTTCACCCACAAGTTCTGAACATCTTCAGCGCCTAAATTGGGGGAAAGTTTTCCCGTTCTTAACACAGAATTCCTCTCAAGGTACTCCACGTAAATACTAAATAGCGATTTTGTAGTTCGGGGTCTCTTTACAGTTTTTACTGACATAATTGGCTAAAAGCACTCGAATTGTGATTTGAACAAAAAGCGAGTGCGTTACTGGATAATAAAAATATACCATAAACAGCTGATCTCAGTGTGGCGCACGCGCAAAGTACTGAAATTTGTGGGTTGGCAGAGCTGTATTACAACTTCATATTGGTTCGCTTTTCAATCTTGTAAACCGTAAAGATACCATTACAATAGTAGCACGCGAATACGAAAAACTTTCAATATTGAAATGGGACTTGAAATGTTTCAATTGTAAGCTTTTCAATATTGAAAAGTTTTCAATGTGCACGAGAATAGCACTGATTGTACGATTTGTTGTGAAGCCAACATCCCACGCATTGTTATCCTCAGCTTGGTCATAGAATAGTAGCACTTTATTCTGTGGCTTGGTCGTGTTCACGCCTTTGGCAAAGTTCGTGTATGGTCGTTTGTTTGTTTACACGCCTACGTGAAAGTTGTTTTTTGTCTAATTACGTGATTTTGACTAAGTGTGGCCTGTGACAATTATTTATATCATGGTGCGGCGTTGTGAAGTATGCAATGCATATGATAGGCGAAAAAAAGGAATATCATTTCACGCGTAAGTACTTTTTTGAGGTTATGTTGCTCTTATTGTGTTATTGAGATCAGTGGCGTAGATAATTTACTTTCTCATTTTATAGATTCACGAAGAACAATGATCTCATTAAGGAATGGTTCAGTTTATTGAATTTTAAAGAAGATAAAAAACTGACAAAAACCTCTCGAATATGCTCGCAACATTTCCGACAGAGTGATTTTGAAATCAAACCATCTGGTTTAAAGTACTTAAAAAGCGACGCTAAACCAATGCCTTATAACTCAAATTTATCACCTACACAAAATTTGAGGTAGGTAATTTTGTGTAATTGTAAAATGAACACTAATAATTGTATTATGTGCAGCTCTAGTAGCAGTGGTTCGTGTCAGCAACCTCCTTGTCAGCAACCATTAAAGCGCAAGTAAGTATAGTTCGTGATGTGATTCTGTGTGAAACTGCATATTTTTTAGACGTACTACAGGTAGCTCTACAAAAACGAATACTCCTCCTAAACTCCGAGATAACGTATCTCATAAAACTGTGTAAGTGTAATTATGATAGTAAGTAGTGTTTGGTCTGGTGGAAGCAGTGCAATTATATACTTCTAGTCACGGATCTTTGCCCCTGCGTCATTGATTTGTGAATCAATTTTAGACATTAAGTTTTATGTAGATTTCGCTTGCTTGATACATGTTGCAGTTTTCTAGTATATGCAAGCGTATGTCTGAAATTGATTAACAAATCAATGACGCAGGGGTAAAGATCCGTGACTAGAAGACGTATACATACCTATAATAACAATAGGGCTGTAATAACCAAGCACCTACCTTCTTGTGCATGAAGCTCACTTGTGTGTTAAGGGTGTAATGCCCGGTTTCTCCAATACACTTAAGTAAGTAAGTAATAGAGACATGATATTTGTCGGTGGATTGAAATTAGTTACTTTCTTAGTAACGTTAAACTTAAGCTGGTTTTAAGTGTTGCATATTGTTGGAGAAACCTGCCATTTGAGTTGTAATTGTAACATTTAAAGGTACATAAAGTAACCAATCATCATTTAGTGAAAAAACAATCTGCAGTTATATTAATACTCGTATAAATAACAATTACTTGCTGTAAATACCTTTGATTTAGTGAATCTATTTATGTATAAATATCAACAATTTTACTTTTTGGATTGTTTAGACATAAGTCATCTTCAGGGACCTTAACAGCATCTGAATTTGAACAGAAATCAGCTATCGGACAAACAACACCTCCTGGGCAAAGAGATATTTTCTGTGCTGGACCATCTACTGCATATCCAAATGTAAACAAAGATGGAAGCAGGTATGACTAATTTAACCAAAAAAAAGGTTACCCACATATAAAGTATACTTTATTGTAGCAAAAAACGTTATGTAGGAGATATTGCTAGCGATGAGTTTTCCACACCAAAGAAAGCAAAGAAACATGCGCGAATGCTGAAGGGTGCTGTTGTAAAGTATAGGAGAAGAGTTGTTACACTTAATCAGAAAATTCGAAGGTTGAGATCTAGAGTTACGAATTTACAGTCACTCCTAATAGCCCAAGAGCCCACGACGGCCAGACCTTCGTCATTTTATAAAAGCTAAAAGTTTTTCTGTTAGTGCCTCTAACACAGGTAAGAACGATCAGCGAGTATAGAATTTGAGTTGTGGTTGTACTTACGCAGGTAACAGGTAGTAAAGGTGTATAAAATGGTACATCAAATTTGTTAAAGTATAAAGGTCAAATTTTCTATATTTTCTTCGTATTAACATTAGAAATTACGTCATCCATTGCCGGACACTTAGTATAGTTGCAACCCCCTGCCAGACACCCCTAAACATTAAAAAATTATGATTGTACTTTCGTTATAGTATAAAAGCTGAACTTTAAATGTTACTTGGGGACCTATAGAAAGATGTTACCTCCATAGCCGGACAGTTTTAATGGTTTCTACATCTTGCCAGACACGTTGAAAGTCTGCTATAGGTGCGAGCGCGAGGCGACAACTGTTCAGGTGAATGCGATTGAGACAGTGTGTTTAGCCTATTGTAATTGTTCAATTCCAATAAAAAAAGTTTTATTATATTCATAGCTATTTTATACAAAGTAAGAAATATAGTACAAAATAAAAAAAAAATTCTCAATCATTTCTTTCTTCAATTACGTCGATGTCAATATGTTCATTCTCATCGTTACTCCAGTCCATAGCTTGATCGTCGTCAATACCGTCTTCTTCATCAGTTTCTGAAAAAAAATTTACCAAATTTAGAAAGTCATGATCAACTACAAAATTATGTACCTATAATCATTTGACATAATAATTGCAAACCTGATTGAATTTGGAGTGAATCACTGCCATAAATTGGTAGTTGATCTCCTTCAAACCATTTAAATTGGTATTTGTCATTTTTCAGTACCCAACCATTATTGTCTGGTTGATATATGGTTGGATTTTTCATATGAGCATTGTTCCAAATGGTACATATGTAAAGCTCGCAGAAATTGCTGCAATAACTCGCTTTTGCAAGGTGGTAAATTGCTAGCGTCAAAATTTCTCAACTTCTTTCGGTCAAAAGCTTCGTTTACATCAAACACTGTATACGAGTCGATGAACATTTGAAGTCGAGCGGCATCAACATCAATTATATTACCAATATTGTACCTATACATGGCATATAAATCTCTGAATAATGTTATAAACGTTTTGTTGTTTGACTCTATTTTCAATTAATTCACTGTCACCGAAGTTCATGAAAGCTTCCTGGTACTCTAGACATTTTTTTAATATTTTATACGGTTTTAATTTTCCTTTCCTGAAGAATGCAGGATTGTAATCGCATCCTGTGATGGCGTGAAATCCAGGTAAGCTCTGACAAATTGATTGTCCCAATTGTGCGTGTATTTTCGTCAGGTTCACATATTTTAATTTATTTCCAGTACCTGTAAGAATCCAAACAACCGAATCATTTTTAAGGCGGTGCATATGACCAAGCATTATAGCAACAATATCAGTATCAACACTTCTGATTACTATTTCTGCTCGATAGTCAACGCTGCATGCATGAAATACCACTTTAGTATCGGCTTCCTCGTGTGCTGGGCATGACAGCGCTTCATCAACACATGAGAAAACTGTTGGAATCGTTAACAATGAAAGAATGACATTGTTTGAAATTGATGTGGATAATTTTGTTGCCAATAAATGGTACCACATCATCAGTAGCCCAATGTAAAATAAAAAAATTAACCAGAGCTTCTTTGAAATTTAGATTTTTCAACTCTTTCGTGAAGTCACTTGATCGAACTTGGTCAGGTCCAGTTATGGTGTACTCTAATTGCGTAGATTCAAACCGTTGGGAATGCTCGTAATCTTTGATGGATGGTGTAAAGTACTGATCAAAGATCACGTCAATTCTCGATGCTTGTAATTGAGTAACCATTTGCAAAAATTTACCATGTGAATGACAGATGATGCGCGGTAAAAGATCGCAGTAGGCTAAACGCGCTGTCTCACTCGCATTCACGTGAACAGTTGTCGCCTCGCGCTCGCACCTATAGCAGACTTTCAACGTGTCTGGCAAGATGTAGAAACCATTAAAACTGTCCGGCTATGGAGGTAACATCTTTCTATAGGTCCCCAAGTAACATATATAAAGTTCAGCTTTTATACTATAACGAAAGTACAATCATAATTTTTTAATGTTTAGGGGTGTCTGGCAGGGGGTTGCAACTATACTAAGTGTCCGGCAATGGATGACGTAATTTCTAATGTTAATACGAAGAAAATATAGAAAATTTGACCTTTATACTTTAACAAATTTGATGTACCATTTTATACACCTTTACTACCTGTTACCTGCGTAAGTAACCACAACTCAAATTCTATACTCGCTGATCGTTCTTTCCTGTGTTAGAGGCACTAACAGAAAAACTTTTAGCTTTTATAAAATGTCGAATGCGGGAATATAAAAAAGACGCACTGCTCGTAGTCGGTTTATTGCTTGTCAGAAATCGGGTGTTTTTTGTCGTAATCGGGAATTGTCTTATTTTGGGTAGTATTCTAAATATAAAGTCGAATATCAGTAGGTACATGCCTTAGGTGAACACATCACTTAATTTAAGTACGAGCTTAATTTACAAAGTACTATGGACTTACCTAAATATAAAGTCGAACTCCACAAGATCTCTTAATAAATACAATTAAGTTCACAATGTTGGATCATGCTCGCCATATTCTAGAATGTACATCAAATTTGCAAATAGCAAGGACATCAGGAAATGAGATAAAATGACCACATGTAGGAACATATTTGAATTTGAAATTACTGATAAATAGTGATGGGATTTTAAGGAAACTTGCCTACGGCGTATTTTAAAGGCAGGAATGCACGGTTTAAATGGAACTACGAATTGATGCGTATTTTTGATATAAACCTAATTTTATTTTGCCTAAAGTGCCTTTTTTGACTACTTAATGCCTAAATTTACATTTCGCGAAATTTTTGCTTATTTTGGGCAAATCATGACTTTTGTCGGCCTTTTTTGAGCGCGAAATATCGAAGGACGCGCCAATAACTGGTTGACTAATGAAATGACTAATGAATGAGGCAGCGAGAGGTTATTTTTAGGTGCGTTAACCGTTAGTCGGGTTTCGTTTCCGGTAGTTTCAGTTTTGTGTTCAAGTTTAGTTCTAAAATCACAACTTTGCGGAACGTGGTACACGTGATATTACTATCATCATTCATTATTGTGTATTAATAAAATGCCAAAAAACATCGAAACTTCAATACGTATTTGGCTTAAAGATAATCCCCATCTTAAGCTTCATGAGGGGGACAAAATATTTTGTCGTATATGCAATAAAATTGTAAGTATTGGTTTATGTACCCATATGTATCCCTTTAATATTATGCTTTTGTAGTTTTCATGTAAAAAAAAATTTCACATCATTCAACATGAAAACACCAATGCACATAAAAGATTCGTAGCCAAGGGAGCTGTAGTGCAACCACAAATATCAGAGTCGCTTACAAATGTACCTGCTAGGAGCACTTTTTTCATGGACTTGTGCACAGCAATGGTAGCCGCAAATATACCATGGTTTAAGTTAGATTGTCCCCCCTTTAGAAACTTTTTGGAAAAGTACACGGAAACAAAAATTCCTAATCGTACGACACTAAGCAAACTTTATTTACCGAAGTGCTACCAGAATGTAAGTACGATACAATAGTTTTGAATTTTCGTAAAATTTTTTAACATATTTTAGGCAATAAATATAATACAAGCAGATATAGGTCAACACGATATTTGGATTTGTGTCGACGAAACCACAGACCGAACGGGGCGTTTCATAGCAAACTTAATCGTAGGAAAGCTTTCAGAAGATAGTGCGGCTACGCCTTATCTTTTGTCTTCTAAAGTTTTAGAGCGAACAAACCATTGCACTGTAGCAAGATTTGTAAATGAAAGTCTAGGTACGTATATAAATCAACTTAGTTACAAAAGAATTAATAAAAGATTTATAGCAATACTTTGGCCAAATGCCATTCAGCATGCAAAAGTAAAAATTATGTATTCGGATGCCGCTCCCTACATGCTGAAAACTGCAACAAGTTTAAAGGTTTTTTATCCAAATTTAATCCACTTTACCTGTATAGCACATGGTTTAAATCTTGTTGCTGAGGTAATTCGCGAGCAATATCCAAATGTGAATGGTATAATATCGACTACCAAAAAAATTTTTCTAAAAGCTCCATTAAGAGTACAAATCTATAAAGAAATGCTTCCGAATACGCCTTTACCTCCTGAACCTGTTCTAACGAGGTGGGGAACCTGGTTAAATGCCGCTTTTTTCTATAATACACATTTTGAAAAAATCAAAGAGGTAAAACATGTATCTTCACACAATATTCATACTGACAAACTTTTTACAGGTTGTTGCTCGATTTGATTCTAATTCCGCTGCGTCAATAAAAAATGCCCAAAACTTTTTTAATTCGCCGGGAATTAAAAATGAGCTTACATATATACACACACACTTCAAAATCATACCCGAAACGATTAAGAAAATTGAAGCAAGAGGAATGCCATTGACGGAATCACTTGGATTAGTGGAAACAGTATCAGACTCCTTACGTTCTGCACCTGGTCGTGTAGCCAAAGTTGCATTTAATAAACTATCAAATTGTCTATTAAAAAACCCAAGCTATGAAACGCTATGGGCTATTAAAAAAAATTTTTGTGGCGATGAGGCAGAACTGCCATTCAACTTTGTTACAGATAACATCCAAGCTTTCAAATTTGCTCCTATCACTTCGTGTGAAGTGGAGCGCTCATTCTCTATGTATAAAAATATTTTAACGGATAAAAGACATAATCTTTCTGAGAAAAATGTTGAAATGTTAATCGTAGCTCATAGTTTAACAAAATTTGATAAAAATGATATTGATAACGATAAAGATAACGATTTTGAATAGTTGCTTGTACCTGATGTTGATGTAATAAAAGTAGGCCTATACTTTAGGCCATCATGCCTAAAACTTTTTTTTGTGCCTATTTCACTATTTTTGTGTGCCTTTTGCCTTGCCTATTTTTTAATTTTTCCTTGCCTACAAATCCCATCCCTACTGATAAATATTGTTATTATAAATACTAGTAGCGCCATCTGTAGAGGTGAAAAGACATTAACATTTATCTAAAACAGATTTCTAATTGATTTGAAATTAAGTTTATTTTTATTTGTCTACGGCGGTTGCTTCTCAGTGGAGTTCTTGAAGTAGATTGTTCCTAAAATGTAAATGTAATTCCAGTGGCGTAACAACACAGCTGGGGGCCTCGGGGCAAAACGGTCCTTGGGGCCCCCTATAGATACCAGGGATGACTTAAAGTTTTAATGTACCTAATCGTTTAAATTAAACACATTTAAAACGGTTATTATTGAATTTTTACTACTAATAAATTTTTTTCTTTTTTGGCGATCGATTTCGACATTTATTGTCATCATCTGGCCTTAGCGTCAAAGTTAAAATATTAAAATATAGATGAATGGTGGTAACATAAGTTATTTTTTGTGAGCCGATGTGGATGTAGATGTGGCGGTCAACTGTGTTGTGGCTGTAAAGTGAGGTTAACAGTTCAGAATTCATTTGAATTCTCCCTGAAGTTGCTTCTGGTGAAAATGTTCCTCCCTCGCTTGTTACGTGTTGTTGTTCTTTGGAGGAAGATGAACCCTCCTGTTCATGGGTTGAAATCTCAGTTTCCACAGCATCTGGTTTAATCTTGATAACAAAGTTATCCAGTTTTGCAAGTTTATTTACGGACTCATCACGTGCCCTTTTTAATTTCCTCTTCTGAAAACCACTTATGTAAGTGCGTTTCTCCATATTCAGTCGTTTTCTATAACTGCAAGAAATGATTATCCATAATCGAAATTTTTCTTTTATAAGCATTGGATATACAGGGTGTCCCTAAAAGGTCTGTACAACGCGCTACCAGGGGTTCTTGGTATCAAAATAGGACGATTTAACCCAACTTACCTCTATCCAAAAGTGCTTCGGTAAGACGCTATCTACCGCCAAAGATTTTTTTGAAAAATCGTTATTTTTATTTTATCGGAAAATGGTTTTGCCGATTAAAATGAAATTCGGGATGTGAATGTCTAATGTAAAAAGGGTTTTTGTGATATCATCGTTTTGATTGTAGTTGCTATGTAGGTGGTAAAATACTGACCATCCACATCTGAAGAGGTCTAAAACTTTTTAACTACTATTTTGACGGTTCTGAATTTTTAGACACTGATAGACAGTTTACTTGCAAGCATTTTTTGTCTCTTGATGAATATCGCTATCTGTGATGGTTTACGAAAAAAAAAATAAATTTAGGCATAATGAATGGCATGCACCATACATGCGATTGTTCCTCAAAAACCATAAGTGCAAGCAAGAGTAGGCTATGAAACCGTAGTGTATGTAACGTAGAATAAACGAACACAACAGAGTAAGTCAATGTAATGTATTAATTTAAACTACTAAATGTTCAAAGTGACCTCCATTTTCATGCATACAAAGCATTATACGGCGTAATAAATTAAAGTGTACCCTTTGCAACATTGGTACGTTATTTTTTAAAGTTTCTACAGAATTTTGAATCCGCCGCCACAATTCCTCTTCCGTATTAACGGGTGTGGAATACACCTGGGCTTTAACTGCTCCCCATAAAAAAAAATCCATCGGCGTTAGGTCGGGAGAGCGCGGTGGCCATTGCATGGGAGCATCATGTCCTCTACCTATCCACTTATTGGGGTATTCCTGATGTAGAAAGTTTCGGACGGCTACAGTAAAATGAGGAGGGGCACCATCATGCATGAACCATATGTTTCCGCGTAGCTCCAAAGATACGTCGTCCAATAAATCTGGCACAGTATTTTGAATATGTTGCAAGTAACTATCGCCATTTAATCGTTGAGGTAAAATTACAGGACCAACAATAAAAGTATCAACGATTCCTGCCCAAACATTAATCTTGAATTCGTGTTGAGAATGGGTAACTTTACATGCATGCGGATTCTCATCTGCATACACATGTTCATTATGTAGGTTTGTTATGCCCCTTCTTGTAAAGCAAGCTTCATCGGTAAATAAAATGTTTCGGCAAAAATTCTGATTTCGAACTCTTCGTTCATTGATATTAGTACAGAAAATTAGACGTTGATCCGGGTCAGGCAACAAAAGATCTTGCACTTTTTGAATGTGGTACGGGTGTAGCAATTGTTCGCGAGTGACTCCATTGACAACGTTTTTCGAGACCATTAATTCCGACCCTAAGCGTCTGCTACTTATCTCCGGTTCGTCTGCTACACGATCCAAAATCGCTTCTTCGACATCGGGATTCATTACATAACGTCCACGTCCGTAATCAGCCATCACAGGAGCAAAGCGACCGGTCTCACGAAGACGTCTTTCAACAGCCGCAAACGTTTGATGGTTTGGTACACGACGATTTGGAAACCTGTGAGTATACTCTCTAACGCATTGGCGACCATTTCCACGACAGTATCCAAACACTAATAGCATATCAGTTAACTCTGCGTTACTGTATTGAAAGGCCATATTACAATTTTAACAATGAAATTTTAAGTCTTCAAGCAAAACGTAAATTGTTCAAGTTTAAGAAACAACAAACAAACGTTACGCCACTCTAAGGTTTCACAGCCATCTTCTGATTTTTTGAGGAACAATCGCATGTATGGTGCATGCCATTCATCATGCCTAAATTTTTTTTTTTTCGTAAACCATCACAGATAGCGATATTCATCAAGAGACAAAAAATGCTTGCAAGTAAACTGTCTATCAGTGTCTAAAAATTCAGAACCGTCAAAATAGTAGTTAAAAAGTTTTAGACCTCTTCAGATGTGGATGGTCAGTATTTTACCACCTACATAGCAACTACATTCAAAACGATGATATCACAAAAACCCTTTTTACATTAGACATTCACATCCCGAATTTCATTTTAATCGGCAAAACCATTTTCCGATAAAATAAAAATAACGATTTTTTAAAAAAATCTTTGGCGGTAGATAGCGTCTTACCGAAGCACTTTTGGATAGAGGTAAGTTGGGTTAAATCGTCCTATTTTGATACCAAGAACCCCTGGTAGCGCGTTGTACAGACCTTTTAGGGACACCCTGTATTTGTATTTTCTGTTTTTGCCATGAACGTACTTAATTTATTTTATTGAATAATGAATACGTATACGTTGGAGTGTTTATACATACATATATAATATAATAGATAAAGTAAGTACTCACCTTCAACGAAAACGGCAAAACGTTCAGCTTCAGATTGCTGTTCAGTTACACCTTTATTAAATTTTAATTTGTATGAATAACAGTAACACAGTAGTAACCGAAAACGACGAAAACAAAAACACATCAAATAAAACAGAAACGCAGAGTCACTAAAGAATACAAAATTGCAAAGCACGACAAAAACCCTGCACCCGGAAACACTTTTGGCCGCCACGAAGATCACTACATCAGTAAGTAATTAAAGGGCAAAGATAACTCCGTAGCAATTCAACAGTCGTAAGCGTAACCTACTAACAGAAATAAAAATCTCAACTTGCAAGAAAAGGAAATATAGCTAGGTACTTCATTTGTTTTACCACTTCAGCATAAGCGCTAAACAGTCCCTGCTAATCTTATCTCAAATGAATTGAATGCCAGCAACATGAATAGCGTTGCGTATTTTAATTATTTTTATTCAAATAGGGTATCAGTGCCAGATATCAGATTTCAGAGTATAAACATTTTAGTTATGAGCTTCGAATGAATGTAGTACCATGTTAAGATTTAGCAATCATGAACCATGACCTACAATTTTGTTTTGTATACTACGCATTTGTTTTCTACGTGTGTCCGGCACCTTTCGGGTTTCGGGGCCCCCGAGATCGGGGGCCCCGGGGCTTTGCCCCGAACTGCCCGGTGATAGTTACGCCACTGTGTAATTCTTTATAAATAATAAATACAAATTTCATTCTTACATTTAATACAGGATTGATTGGATTCTGTAAATTACTAGGCTTGTAATGTTTCCAGGATTCCACTGCAACAGGCGGATTTTCCTGAAGGTTACAGTAAATTATATGTTATAGGTACCACATTTACTCTTATGCCTTACCTGCTCAACTATTTCATCTTCATCATGTTTTCTTTTTTGCGTTGCACTGGACAGGGGATGGTACATCACACTGTAATACACAAGAATGTAAAAATTATAAAAATAAACTAATATATATATTACCTCAGGATCATTTGTGTCCATGTCAAAGATTAATGTGTCACCAACCTCAATAGCTACAGGTGTAACGTTACAGTCACTATCAAATTTATTTTTTAACCCAGACACCGTCTTTTCATTCATAATGGACAATAAGAGCATGTCTGCAGGATCATCTTTAGTTGGGGGAACCTGTCCTCCCCCAGTTCGAAGCAGCTCTTGTCGTTTATTACTTTTAATTTTGCGCACTTCCTTTCTCTGGTTCTCATAAAATCTTTTTAAACATTCCCAATCTCTAAACACGCCATTAGGTAGACTAGAGTTAAAGTCCTCCTCGACCATTTTCCACGATTTTATCCTATCTTGAACATAAGTCCTATCTGTTTTTTTATCTTCTATTACGCTTGCATATTTATTGGATATTATCGACATTAATAATAATTTTTCGGACGGTGTAAACTTTGGAGCCCTCTTTGCGTTGGTGCACGTCTTACCCATTGTTATTGTAATACCAAAATTGCAAGAACGTGGAGAAATAAATTAAAAACCTTCTTCAATGGTAACAGGTTATGTTAAAGCCACAGACCGCGTTAAAGTTTAGGGAATTTGCTTCAATCATAAAAATTACTAAGATTTACAATGTTGTCAAATGGTTTCTTTCGTTTAACCAATCCCTATTAGTATTGTGCCGGTGCATTAGAATTAAAATTAAATCGAGTTTAACCGTTAACCGCGATTACTTATTAGAAGTTTAAGTAAAAATCGGTGCATACGGCC